TGTGTGTCGTGCGTGGAAGGTTCCCTTCCCTGGAGTCCCTCCTCCCCCGCTCCTGGGCGCGGTTCTCAAGCGGCGGGCCTAACGCGCAAAGTCAAGGGCCGCTTCGCCTTGCACCTCGCGCGGGGGCACCCTGTTCAAAATAATCATTAGCATATGAATACGACGTGACGGATTTATATTCGCACCTGTTGCACTCGAGTTGTGGGGACTATACTTTTAACAAATGCGGTCCTCATAACGTGCCAATAATTTTTGAAAACTTTTATATAGTTTGTAATATTTAACACTAAAAAGTTTAGAAGATTAAATGAGAGCACGGAGGGCAAAATGTGGTTTGAGGTTAGGTTGGTTCCGTACCGCGGGGACAGAGATATCTAAGTTACAACCAGCTCCCCAAAGCAATATTTTTTGGCAAAAAGATCATTGGCGAAAACAAAGTGCACATCCCATAAACCTTAAGATAGTTGAAACTAACCTCCAGAGCGATGTCACATTTTGCAGAACACACGGGACGCGGCGGATGCAGATAAAACACAAGCCCGCTCTGAACATTTTCTGGATTTTTTGAAGCAGAACTAGCGGACTAAAAAATCTGCGCTTTTGAACTACGGAGCGAATAGAACGGTTCCGAAAATTAAAATACATTTTTGGTACAAATTTCGTTAACACCGACGATACGGGCCGGACCGGCCAAGCGGGGGCGGGTAAACTCACTACCTGCGTTTAGTGACTCTGGTGACTCCATGCACGAAAATGAGTATTATTCGCAGTATCAAAACAAATGCCACCAGCCCAGCCGCAGCTGATTCGTAGGCTCATTTCTGGAAGAGTTCAACAAAACTGAGCTTGAGGGCTTTTTGAAAATTTCCTGACGCACCAACTACGCACTACGCACGCAATGCATCGCATTCATCGCATGTTTTTGACAATGTGTGGTCTGTTAGGTATGTTATCTTTTAGCAGTGCTACTACTATTTTGAGGTTAGACCAAACAACTTCTCCAAAAGTGTATGCGAATTTTGACACTTGTTCGGTCTTTAGCTGCTTGTGTGTAATTATTCTTTACATTGGTTATGTTGAAAGCAAACCCTTAAATATGTAATCCAATTTCAACTCGTCTGTTTGGCACCTGGACTCGGATTAGATGAGTGGGGAAAGGGGAGGGGGAGGGCTGGGGGCGTGTATGAAGTTTCAAGAGAGGCCAAGGCCGAGGATACTTGAACACTGGGTTACTTGAACACCCCCTCACTTTTGTTAGAACCGCGTACGAAACGGACAATCCGGAATCGACCACTTCTACTTATTCAGCTGCTGACTTAATTTCTCGAAGGTGGTGTTTGTGTGGTCATTCCCTGTGACGCAGGGCAAGCTTTGCCTCGAATTTCCGGTAAGGTTTTATGGTTTGAAGTTACAAGTTAGAGAAAAGGGGGAGAGGGGTTTACCCAGTGAGAAATGCGGATATCAAATTGACATCAGAACGATATCGGACATCAGAAAAGTGTCGATTTCGGGCCCATTTTTGAATCAGTTCTGAGTCAGAAACTTGAAAACGATATCGTACTGATATCGATTCGATATCGCTTAAAATTCATTTCGCACTGGGTAGGTTACTCTAAGCGCGACTAACGAAGTGAGTGTCTCCCTAGTCGCGTCCGTTATCCTCTAGGGCCCAAATGCAAAATCCTGATTAAGTATCGCTCCCTAAATGAGGCCACTGGCACACGCGTTGGGCTCGCGGGGTCGACAATTGACAATCAAGCCGTTGTTTCCATCCCGCAGAGAGAGTGTATGTATGTGATGCCTAGTGATGAGTGTGCTTTGCTTGCATCCACTCTCCCGATTGAGACGCGCGCAGACGCGCGCATCCCGACGGATTTACCGGCCGCGGCCCGATACACATCCGCGGCCGTAAACTCGTGGAACGCGGCGATCGCTATCGCTGGACAGTTCGCAGCGTGTCGCGGCGCGCGCGCTCCGCACCCAGCGGCGGCGTCCCGGGACCCGCCGCGCCGCCGTGACTCAGCGGGCCGCATGACGAGTGCGACAGAGACGGAGCACGCGCGGACCTGTCTAGCACTCCCGAACACTCTTTTGTCTCGTTCTGTCTCTCTCACTCCCTCCGAGACCGACGCCGCCGCGCCGCCGCTCATTCGATGGGACTGCTCGCGTGTGAGTGAGATTGGCAATCCGCATTATGATGTTTGCTGCCCTGCATGCCTGATGAGCAGCGAGCACTCACTCGCTTGCTCCCCGTCGAGTCTGGCCTCTTCATCTCTGACAAGTCAATAACAAGGAAGTCGGTTTGTCGGTGTGTTTATTTCGGTCGCCTCGATAGGCGCCGCGCCGTCGGGTAGCATGCATGTCGGAGGTGATGCAGCACTGCGACTCGTCAAAAGTCGCCTGAGCCTCTCGTTGACGTCGTCCTGACTCGTCTCTCCTCGTCATCGCCGTCCTCCTCGGACGGGGACGGCATGGTCCACCAGCGGGCAGTGGGGCGGTGTATGGTTATGGATGCGTTCTACGCACGCGCACGCACGCGGAGTGGGGGGGGGGGAGGGGGCGTGTGGGAACTGTGCCGTGCCGCGCGCAAGGCCGTGTCACCTTTGAGTCGCCGCTGCCGCCGTGGGCATGCGCTTTGGCCAGCATCCATCAGTGTCGGGACGACGGGCAGAGGGTTGGTGGGTTGGCGGTGCGGGAGAAGGAGAAGGCATCAGGAAAGCTTTATCCCCTTTATTTTTTACGCGTGTGTGCTGTTTTAAAATTTACGGTTATGGCTACATTTTTCACAGCTCTATCTTACTCATTATGATCCAAGTCCGAGAAATGCTTTCAGACGCTAAAACAAGCACTTCCACTGAAAAAACCTGACTTTAAAAAAAATTACTGAAGCAAATTGCGTAGAAATACGCTTGCTCACAAAGTGAGTCCTGTGATCGCGACGGCCAGGGGCTTCTGCGAGGTTGGCCACCTCTTCTGCCGGGCAGTCACACCTGCGGCCCGTTCCATTCCCATTCCGCCCCCGAGCTGAGACTCGCGTGCGGCGCGATACCCGCGTCCAGAGAGATCCACCTCACAATCAGACTCCGTGTGAGATGGATACAAAAAGCACCGCGAAAGATGTAACTTATACTCACCGGAGACGGGAAAAAGGCGAACAAGAAAAGAGGGGGTTTAAAAAGAAAGAAAAACATTGTGCTTGGTCGGATAGCTTTGTGAGAAGATATGGAAGGCTTTTGTGGGTGGGCTCGTGCGAAGACCATTGGTTCATATTTCTCCCGCGCGCGAAAGGAAAAAAAAGAAATTGATTGGCTTTGCGCGGACGCGTCACCGCGCTGCACCTCGCGAGACGGCGTGGCGCGGAGGAGCGCGGAGGGGCGTCCCGTCTCCCACGAGCGCCGCGAGACGTGAGAGCGCCGACGGACTCTCTTCTCACAAACGTGCCGGACGTCATTGGAATCTTTTTTTTTTACACTTACCTTTTTTTTCAACATTTTTTGTTGTTGTATTTTAACGCACATTCTTCACCTTCACTTGTGCCAAATGAAATGACCATCCGTTGTTGGCAAAGGACAAAAGCAGATTCGCGGGGTCCGGCGGTTTTCTTGAGGTTGATATTCTTCCATCTCTCTCTCTGATTTTTGCAGCTGGAGGCTCAGCTCCAGAACTCGGAGCTGCAGCGCGCCGTGCGCGAAACCCTCAACCAGGTGGACCTCAACCTCGTCGAGAACCCGGACCTGGCCCGCCAGATTCGCCTCCTGTCCGTCATCGGGCCGGCGGCCCTCCCGCCAGACCAGCTGGACAGAGTAAGTAGCAATTTCAATCATCTTAATTTTTCTATTTATTAAAAATATTTTGTTTGTTTGTTGCAAAGACGCGTTTGCTGATCGCTCCTCTTCTTTCAGTACAACGGGCTCATCAACTCCATGCTGGCCGTGTACAACAGCGCGACCATCTGCGCTCACCGGGAGCCGCTCCGCTGCGGGCTGCGCCTCGACCCCGGTACAGTAGTAGTCCTGTGGTGGAGGAGCCCCCTCGCGGAGCGCCTGTGAGCCCGGGGGTGGGCCGCCAGTCTCGCACGGGCGCGCGCGGGTGCGGCCGTGCGGCCTACCTCCCAGGCTGCAGCCTCCTCGACCGCCTCCAATCAAACACAGCTTCATTTTAGTCATTTAATGGAAAATTACAAGGCATTGAAAGTTGGACATCAACTGCATTTCCGACCGTTAGGATTTTATGTCAGGAAAAATCAAATTTTCATTGTAAAAAGGAAGCCAACTAATTTTTAGGTGTTGATTTTCCTTTGGAAAAACTTTTGCAACAACAAAACTGCAAGTTTTCGTTTTTACCCAAAGCTTTTTTGCGGTTTCTCTTCCAGCATTTAAATGTCTCCCTGCCTGTCCGCAGACCTGACCCTCATCATGGCACGCTCCCGCGACTGGGACGAGCTGCAGTACGTGTGGCTGGAGTGGCGTCGGCGCTCGGGCTTCAAGATCCGCGACCTCTTCGACCAGCTCGTGGACCTGAGCAACGTGGCCGCCAAGCACAACAGTGAGTACAGTCGCTAGGATGTGCTCTGGACAGGAGGGGTGCCTCAGTTTTAATTCAGGAGAGCACCAACTTTTTGTTTTTCTCTGAAGTTTTATTCTGATTTTCTTTGATTTTTTAAAATTGATTTTTCGTTGATTGTTTTCCGATTTTTCTCATTTTTGGGGAGAGTGTACACTGTTTCATTTAGTGAAATACCTTTCGACTCCTACTCCAGTTTCCCACACACCGAGAACTTATTCCCAGCGGCCAATTTCTAACACCCTGTATACCCCTTTCTTGTCGCAGACCTGACGTCGTTCGCCGACTACTGGATGTTCCCGTACGAGACGCCCGACTTCCGCCTGCAGCTGGAGACGGCCTGGGAGGAGGTGCGACCCCTGTACGAGCAGCTGCACGCCTACGTCCGCAGGAAGCTGAGGGACTTCTACGGCCCGGACAAGATCTCGCGCCAGGCGCCGCTGCCGGCGCACATCCTCGGTGAGTGCTCGCCGCGCTTCGCCACGTTGTGTCCGCAGGGCCAAAGGCTGGCGGTAAGTTCCACGTGGTCCGCGGCCAGAGGCGGTAGCTACTCTCCTTGTAGTCCACGGCCAAAAGCGGTGAGCTACTCTCCTTGTAGTCTACGGCCACAGACGGTGGGCTCCTCGTGGTCTACGGCCAATGGCGGTAAGCTCAACGTGGTCCACGGCCAGAGGCGGTGAGCTCCTCGTGGTCCACGGCCAGAGGCAGGTGGTGAGTTCCACGTGGTCCTCGGCCACATCCTCGTGGTCCACGGCCAGAGGCAGGCGGCGAGTTCCACGTGTTCGTGTCCGTGACCAGGCGATGAGCGCCGCAGCCGCGCCCAGCAGCAGCGGCACCCGCCCTTGAGGTTGACAATGAGTGCCTGCGCCCCCCGGCTGGATGGGCACGGCGGCGCGGGCACGCCACCACCACCTCCTCCTCACGCGAGTGTGGGAAAGGCATCCGTGCGACGCGCACCGGCCAGCCGCCACCGGCCGCAGCTGCCCATGTCACTTCGATTACCAATTGATCTCTTCTCTCGCGCGAGCAGCGGTGCGCGGCGGCGGCGGCGGCAGCTGCGCGGGAGAAGGAGGAGGAGGCCTGCTGCTGGCTGCTGTTTGTCTCACGGTTACTCTGCCGCCGTCGCACACATGCCACCCCGTGCAAGTGAGTGACTGATTGTGCGCTCCCAACGCAAACACACTTACACACATACACTCTTACACACACACAGTGCCACACACACACACGACATACACTCACACACTCACAGTGCCACACACACACACATAGTGCTGCAGTGGGTGCGGCCCGCGGCGGCGACCCGATGTACGTCCATTAATTAATTGGAAATGTCGGCACATCACCGGCGCGGCAGCCATGGCAAACTGATTGTGAGCGTCGATGGAACTGGACAGGTTTTATTTTGTATCATTATTTATTTTTATCTGCATGAGCGTGGGTGCGTTCCTGGTGAGGGGAAGGGGGGGTGAGGGGGTGTCTCTTCAGCGTGTCTCATTAGAATGCGGAGAGACGCGGGCGCGGCGTGTAAGAATTAAGCCGGAACTAAAGCTCGCGAGCGACTTTGCTGGCTGCTGTGCGACGCAGCGGCGGCGGCGGCGGCTTGATGGGTGTGTGTGTGTGAGTGATCCCGCCGTAGTTCATATCCACAATGGCGGCGCTCTTGTTGTTCTTCTCCTCCTCCCCCGTCTCTGCGAATGTGAACGACAGCCGACAGCAGCCTCAGGCCCGCCTGCTCGCGAGTATGACGAGCAGAGCATTCATACGTCCGACAATACGTCGTCGTCCAGCCGGAGGTTTCCTCGCGTCGTCAATAATAAAGACGTGTGTACGCTGCAGCAGGTAATGAGAGGGGCAGTGTTTGGGCTGCCCGCCTCCCGCCGCCCTTAGCGCCCCGCCACGCCCCGCCTCGGCTGTATTTCCTCATTATTTCGACCTTCCCTCGCAGCAGTGACCGCGCGCCGTTCCCCCCAACACACGTGCGACCCGTCGTCGTGTGTGTTTCGCTCGCCGCGGGTAGAGTATTTGGGCTGTTGTAATGAATGGCGGAGGGACCCCGTCGCCGACGCCCGTCGCGTGATTATAGAGGTTATTGCGGGACGCCTCGTTGTGCTTTTGGTCCGGTGTACCTCTGTGGTATCTCCCAGGTTAGTAAGACGGAAACAGTAGTTCACGTCGGTAGCAATGAACTTCGTAAATCGGAAGTAATTACGATTTCTGGAGTTGTTATTTGAAATGACATCACGCGCTGTGCGCTGTGTGCCGCCGACGTTTGTGAGTTCAAACACCTCCGCGATTATTCCCTCCACGTGGACCGCACAAGAGCGCGCGCGCAGGCCCTCCACTTTTGGCGTGCGCCTCGTGAAACACGCACACGACGACCAGCTCGGTGTCGGTCGCGTGCTAGATGGAGCTCTGCTGCTTGGCGATGCCGATCACGCTCTTGTGCTCCGCGCCTGCTGCTCTGCGCGCCGAGCCGCCGCCGCCCGGCCCGCGGGGCAGACCGAGACCATACGCAACGCGGGGGTGCTGGCGCTGGCCTGGCCGGGCGCCCACCACGAGCGAGTGCGTGGAGCAGGTCACCACCTCCACCGCGGGTCGTGGTCGTGTCGCGAACCGCTCCAAGGGCGTGCACCTCGCGAGCAAACTTGTCGCTTAACTCAGCGGGTCGTCCAGTACAGCGCAGACCGACTGATACCCGAGGGTTAAACTTAAATGGTTTTAACTAGCGTCTGCGCGACCACGCCGGCGGAGAGCTCTTGTTCGAGATGGACGCCGAGCGAGAGTCCTTCCGTCAGTCGGACGGGCCGGCCCCGGAGCCGCCGTCTCCGCGGCAAGGTCAGGGAGGAGTGTGTAGTACCCGCCGCTGGGAGTGGGTGTAGTACCCGCCGCTGGGAGTGGGTGGGTGTGTTCCGTACGTGACGCCCCCCCCCCCCACCAACCCCTCCAGGCTCCAGGCCGAGCTCCAGGCACTAACTCTCCGTCGGGATAGCTCCGGTGCGTGATTTTTCAGCGAGCGCGGGCGTCGCGTCCACCTCGAGTGTGCGATGGCGCTCTTTGATAAATCGTCCATTTCTATCGGCATGCTATCACGCGCTGGAATGCCTATGGTGGTTAGGCTCGAGCGACGCGGACCTGCCTGCCGCGTGTGTGTGTGTCGAATCGTGCGACGACGGTAATGGATCAGCTGTCATCCTGCGGTCCGAAGGGGGCGCTCGGGAGACAGACGCCCAGCTTCGGCTCCGGCTTCGGCTCGTCCCGCCGACAAGGCCCCTCGTTATCAATGCATGGCCCATACCATACGCCGCTCGCTGATGAGGATTGCCATTGTCCGCGTCGCTTTTTAAACGCTTCCCGCCGCCGCAGCGTGTCATGCTGACGGAGGGGCGCTGCCGCTGCCGGGCGTGGCCGAGCAGGCCCTGCTCCTCGCCGACGTGCGTGCCTCTGGGGATTCCCTATGGGGTGGGGCTGAACCGCGACCTTGCCCCTCATCATATACCGGCCTTTGTAGTCGTTGCCATTCTATGGTACCTCAATCGTCAAATTACAATAATGACCACCGCCACCACTTGTCGTTGTCGGTAATTCTATAACGCCGTGTCTTACTTTTGTTTGTGGCGTTCCCAGGTAACATGTGGGCGCAGTCGTGGAGCAACATCCTGGACATCACCATCCCTTACCCGGGCAAGAACTTCCTCGACGTGGGGCCGCAGATGGCTGCGCAGGTGTGTACGACGCGGTGGTCACGGTGCGCCGGTCGGGTAGGCAGCACATCGTGCACGGTCACCGCGCGCTAACCTGGACTGTTTGTTTTGTTCGCGTCCGCAGGGCTACACCCCGGCCGCCATGTTCCGCCTGGCCGAGGAGTTCTACACGTCCATGAACATGTCCGCCATGCCGGCCGAGTTCTGGAGCCACTCGGTCCTGGAGGAGCCCCCGGCGAGGGTCGTCGTCTGCCAGCCGTCGGCCTGGGACTTCTGCAACAGGAAGGACTTCAGGTGCGCGGCGCTCCCTGGCGCTACCCTCTGCTTCCTGGGACACAGGTGTAAAAGTGTTTCGCTTACGGTGACGAATTGTTTTCGATTCCAGGATCAAGATGTGCACGCACGTCAACATGAACGACCTCGTGACGGCCCACCACGAGATGGCCCACATCCAGTACTTCATGGAGTACAAGAACCTGCCGAAGATCTACCGCGATGGAGCGAACCCAGGTATGAACTTGCTATCACCCTGTCCTCTTGGTGACGGCCACGCTTCTTGTGTGGACGGCTAAAATGGTGTACGAGGGGTGGCGCACCTACACGGGGGAGCTAAAGGTACCACGCGCCGCGCCGTACGAGGTAAACGAGAAGAGGGAAGGGGCGCCGCGTCGAATGGGTGGCCTACCCGCCGGCGCACCCCGCGCCGCACGCCACTTTCACTTTCGTTTGGTGTAGGTTGGGGAGCCTGCATCACAGGGCGTTGTTGCCGAGCCGCTTGGTCACCGTTTCTTTTGCGATGTGAACGGTAGTGCTGCCAGCGGGACGCCTCTAAGAATGCTAACGAACTAACGAGTTATCTCGTATACCAAAGGGGGGGGGGGAGGGGCTGTGGGTTGCCATCTTACAGGTGCTTCTTATTCTTAGCACGAATTGCCTGCCTTTCAGGCTGCTTACTAGAGACGTCACCCTTATGCCGCGCCTGATGAGTACGACAGGTGTGGAGCGGCCTAAGTACTAGGTAATATTTGGCACCCCCGAACCGAGGGGTTGCCTAATAGCCAACTGCACGCATATGTATTTCTGGAAATATTTTGTGTACCTATTTGGGCGGGCCGTTGTCCGTTCGTTTTCGGCCCATCACTTGTCTGTCAACGACATCGACTCAGCCTCGTCCTCCAATGTGTTCCGCAGGGCTGCACGAGGCCGTGGGCGAGGCCATCTCCCTGTCGGTGGCCACCCCGCGCCACCTGCAGGCGCTGGGGCTGGTGCAGACGGCCGTGGACGACCTGCCCCACAACATCAACTTCCTGTTCGCCCTCGCCCTGGACAAGCTGCCCTTCCTGCCCTTCAGCCTGGCCCTGGACAAGTGGCGCTGGGACGTGTTCCAGAAGCGCAAGACCAAGGACCAGTACAACTGCCACTACTGGTTCCTGAGGTTTGTGCGATTTACACTATTTTTGCGCGGCACGGCGCGCACGCGATTTAATCGGCATTCAAAACTAATCGACTGCGATAAAAATGAAACTTGCTAATCCGTTTGCAGAGAGCGGTATTCTGGCATCAAGCCCCCGTTCCTGCGGTCCGAGTTCGACTTCGACCCTGGCGCGAAATTCCACGTCCCGGCCAACATACCCTACATCAAGTGAGTAGCAGCGAATCGACGAGTAATTATTCGGTGCCACTGCTGCTGTGGGGGAAAGTAGTGGTGGGGGGGGGAGGCCTCCATTTGCAGCGCCATTCGCATTCGATTTTGTCGATATTCTACGCGATAGTTTGTCGTGGAACGCGCACGACGGCCGGCCGCCCTGGACACTCACGCACACTCACGTGTGTCCGTCAACGAGGCGGTGTAATGCCAGCCCGCGGTGCGTGCATCTCATTATCGAGACGTTGCGTTGCCGATTGCGGTTGTGGTGCACGCGGTGTATAGTGGTAGTAGTACGCGGTGTACGTACCCCCTCGCGTGTCCAGCTTGTCCCGGTCCTTGCCCGCCCCGCCC